CATTGTATGTAAAGGGTGAAGCGGACAACACATTTGAATACTAATTGCATAATTTTGACCATTCGCGTTTTACTTATTTACATACGTATATACATATGTATATATTTATGCTAACGCAATTTATATTATGTGTAGTATATAGTAAATAGCTGAATATAAACCTAATTATTTTTAGTTTACTGCTTGCCATCAATAAAAAAAGGAATAAAATAAAAGTAAATAAATAAATAAAAAGAAAAATAAAATAACATTAAAAAAAAGAATTAAAAAAAAAGGTAAAAAAAATTTGCTCTGGCACTCGAACCCGCGTCGATTCGATTGCTAACCAAGTGCTTTAACCGTCTGCGCCACGGGTACAGCCGGCCGGCAGTTGACAAGTTCTGGCATTGAACATTTTGGTGTGCCAGAGCATGTGAAAACAAATATTTCTATTTTTTAGAAAAAATTTCTACTTTTTAGAAAATGTTTCTATTATTTAGGGTTGGTTTCATTTTAGGGTTAGGGCACTAATTTTTAGAAAAGGTGTTGCCAAAATATTTTATTATTTTCGTTTGCCTTTCTATTTTTCAGAAAATAATTTCTAAAGTTTAGGACATTTTTTCTAGATTTTAGGGTGATTTTAGTTCATGGTAACCATTTTCTACATTTAAGAAAAACTTCCTAGATTTCAGAAAAACTTTCTTGACTTAAGAAAAATTTCCTTAGATTTAGAAATAACTTTCTTGTATTTAGAAAAAAGAAATTTTTAGGGCGATTTTCTAAAATTTAGGGTTAAATTTATTTTGAGTGTGCACAGCACAGAAAGAAATATATCTTTAATATTAAACTCTCCTTTAATAACTTATAAAAGAGGAAAACAACTTTTTAGATTCGCATAAACTCATAAAAAAATGTAATATTTTTATTAAATAATATATATCATTAAAAAAGTATTTTTTACGGTGCTCGACATCTTCTTTTGACCCATTAGTCCCCACCATTTCAAATGCCCTCTGTAATTAATGTGATATTTTGATTTAGAGACGATTTGTCTAATTTATTTTGATAAATTTCAATTATTAAGCCATCATTATCATGCTCTAGGCCCTTGGCCTGTGGGCAGATCGGACAAAGAGTGCTCTCTGAATGAATCCGAACCTCTTTATTTACCTCGTCCATGAATGAATACGAGTTTCACTTCCTCCTTGGGGCCTATGACTGAATCAACATTTATAGGGGACAAGAACACAAAAAATAACACTGTGTAAAGACACTTGCCAATCGCTGAGCGCTTTTAAAATATTTTCCAAACCGTTGGGGATATCAATCAATATTTGTGCTTTTTTTCTTTTGTCAAGAGAGAGAAAGATGATAAAAATGGAAACAATAATACTGAGGTTAGGGGAATGAGCAACAGTGTCACCTTTGACAAGGGTTTCGGATGAATGAAATGAGCTTTGTCGTTTCAGACCGATCATTGATTAATGCGATGATTTTCGGGGATTATTATTCCAAAAATATGTAAGCCCGTAATACGTACATTTATGTTCTTTCGGAATTTCGGAAGGTATTGGAAAGTTATATAAATGTAATTTACATTTTTAAGAATTAAATAATTATTTTGGTAAGGATTGGTAATTATTTTTTTTTATATTTACTTACTTTTTGAAATGAAAGGTCCTAAAATAAAATAGCCAAAATATATTTAAATAAAAAATGATGATTTTGAAAATACATTCATATCCAAACATATTCGAAGATTTCATTGAAAGTTTCCGCTTCTCAGATTTACCCCGATGCCGCCATCACGGAGTTTTTTTTTGATAAAGTGAGGACTCGAAGCGCTGACAGCTCGGGATTCTCAGCATCCAGCTTGCCGCATTAATTTTGCTAATCCTGCCCGAGACGATGATGATGGGGCTGACGATGATGATGGGAGGACAGCAGACAGGAGGACAGAAGACGGGAGATAAAGACCGGGACAGGTCAGCAGCAACAGCCACAGAATCAGTGGCCATGCCGACTGATTTTATATGGTTATAATTCTTGCTTTTGACAGCAACAAGCCTCGTTTGTCGTTCTGCAGAGTGTTGGATCTGACCATTCCCATTCCCCATTCCCCATTGCCGAGGCCAATCCGCATCCCATTCCCAAGGAATGTCAAATTAACACACAATGCGCCGGCTAATACATTAAACAATATGGGGGAAAAGGAGATATTGCTAAGCCGTCGAAGATGCCTCCACTTTCCCAGAAGTTATAGACACACACTGAAATTTCGTTGCGGTCGAGTCGTAAATTATATCAATCTTGTAAGTAGCTGCCAGCATTTAGGAACAATTCTGTTAATCACTTAATTTATGCAAGTGCTACAAATCGCAACCTTGTTGCACCAGCGAGGGGCTTATCCATTTCGGGAAACTAACCGATCCTAACCGAAGCGAACCAAACGAACAGAACCGAACGGTGGGTTAATAAACGATCATTTAATAAGCGTTTTAATGCCAAATTTACGATCGTTTTATTTGCATAAATTACCAAAGTTGCCAACTGTATGCACATTAATTTCCCAACCAAATTGCCAATAAAATGTTATTTATGTTGCTAAGCGAAAAATACAACAGGCGGACCCACAAAATTCCTTCAACGCGCCCGAAAGATCGGCGCAAAGGGAGTATAACGACGATGACTATATAGAGGCATATCCGCGTATATGGACAATCAGCCGGAGTCAAAGGTAGTAAAGTTTATGAGCTTTCGGTTGGCATTTTGTTGGCTTACCTTATTTCCCCGTCGCCCCATATGAATTTCGCCCTAATAGAGTCATAAAATTCGCCATTCGACGGCCGCAAATTGATGTGATTCTGTTAGCTAACTAACGACCTGAACCCAATCAAACCCACTCACGAACTGTATTGCCGCGATATACCCAATCTTTCGGAAAAACAATCGTGATGGGTTAAAATTCTAAAATAGTTCTATATAAACGTATGGCATTTGCTTAAGTTTCATAGTACGGCAAGAGTCAGTTTTGCAATATGTTGGTGACCTTAAATCGAGTCTGGATCCCAAGGATCTTTGTCATAACCGTGAGCTTGGTTTTAAACATATTTTTGTTGCACTTCTTAAAATTTTGGTACTTTATAGATCCTTTTCCTGCAATTAATGCCAACTTCTGATGCTGCTGGACTATTCGATTCTATAACTTCGGCTACCTCGTCGTCGGGTGTTTCATGTTTGAATACTTCCCTTTTATCAGGATTATCAAAGGCCTTTTCGAGTCTAACCCCCGGAGACCTTAGTTCGTTGGAATCTAAATACCCGACTCTACTAGCAGCTCTTCAACTTTTCTTACCCATTTTTACAACCATAAGTGGCTAAAATCTGTACATTGAAGTAAAATGTTTCCTCAAGAGAAATAAATAAATTTGAGCATTATAAAACGATTATTCAGTGCAAATCACTGGTGGTTCGTCCACACCCAAAAAATTATTTTTTCTTAAATATAGAAAAATAAAAATTTTCTGTGCTTAAAAAAAGTATTCTATAAAGAGGAAAAATTTTCTAATCTTCAGAAAAATTTTCTAATCTTCAAAAAAATTCTGAATTGAACGAGTTTTTTTAGGAAACATTTTCTGAAATACAGAAAAATCAATTTTTTTCTAAATTATAAGGTTTATTTTTCTAATCTTCCTTTCTTTTTTTGAGGGTTAAAATCGCCATTGATTTTAGAAAAAAAGACTGAACTTTTCTAAAACTAAAAAAAAATTGCCATCAAAATTATAAATATTTCTACATAATAGAAATATTGTTTTTCTAATAACAGAAAATTTTTTTGAAAATTTTCCTAACATTTAGAAAAAAATGTGTGATATTAAGAAATATTTTTCTAGAAAATAAAAAATTTAACCGTATTTGATCGATTTCCCTTCTTATACACTTTTTAGAAAAGTTTTTTTAGCCTAAGAAAAAATCGCTATTAATCGAAGAAAATTTCCGGGATTGGTAGCCTAGGGGTGTAACGCGTGCGTGCGTGCATATGTTATTCAAGCTTGCGGCTGCAAGAGTGAGTTCAAACCCACGTCGAGACGAAAAACTCGTGGTGTCTTTTTGTTTTTTTTAACACTAATAGTTACATATTAATAAAAAAAATGTATTGCATTTTTTTAGCTCATGAATAGTTATATTTTGATAAAAATGATGTTTAAGTTTTTCAAATTTGAAACATTCAATTACTGTTACTATTGAACCATAATAAATATATAAATATTAATATTAATCAATAAATATTTAAAAGTAAAATTAAATGATCAACTAAAAGGAATAACCAGAAGAAAGCCAGATCAATTTGAGTAAAAATAGGAGAACAAAATGTGAATAGACTTTGTACAGCGCCTCACGTGATGCTTCCGTGGCGTAGCTAGTAGAGTGCTTGACTGCAAACTGTGAGGCGCGAGCGGTTAGCGGTTCGAATCCCGCGTGCGGCGACCAAGATGTTTTTCTCAAAATAGTAAGTTATTGGGTTTTAATTTGTAACACTCATTTCAGTTATTATTACAGTTCCAATTTGAAACCGCCCAAGTGCTCAATTAAAGGAAATTCATATAAGGTGTCAAACAAGAACGAAAAAAAAGAGCAACACAAAAGGCCGTGGCGTCACAGAAACAACCGGGTATAATTCCGAAGCCCGAAAATAGATTTTTGTATTTTCTAAATTTGAGAATTTTTTTTTGTTATTTAAAAAATATTTGTCCATATTTAAAAAAAAACGTATTTCTATTTTTTAGAAAACCTTTATTTCTAAATTCTAAGAAATAATAATTTTACTTTCTAACAAAATATTTCTAAATTGCAGTATATTTTTTTTGATTTTTAGAAAAAACGTCTTTGATTTTAAAAACCTACTTTCTTTAATTTAGACAAAATCGCCAGTAAAGCAAATTCATAGGCGATTTTCTAAAACCAAGGGCGATTTCAGTCGATTTTTTTTTGGGTGCATGGAATTCGGGTATCCAGGTGACCATCATTTCGGTCATGTCAAATACGTCCAACGCCTTGCAGAAATCGTCGAATAGTATCTGATTTGAGTCCGACTGGTCCATTTCCTTCATCATTGTCTCGACTATACGCATTATTTGCACATGATCCAGTAGATTTGAGAACAGTTTGTGCACGACTATAACCAAATCATACTTGGTGATACGACCATCTTTGTTATGATCGTACATATTGAATAGTACTGTAAGTAAATAAAAACATTTGATATAGGCGTTAAAAATTTTAATTTAAAATACATGGTAAAAGTAATAATTTATTTATTAGAAAATCGTATAACTTTAAAAATAAAATTTTATATTTAAAATCTTACTCTGTAACTTCTTATCCTTGATTTCGTTTTTCAGCCCTTTGGATGTTTTTAGCGAGTGGGCCTGAAAGGTGCTCAGGAAGAGGGCGAAATCCAAAAAGCTGATTGTGACTTTATCCCCGAACATGGAGTTCAAGATGGTGGGCAATAGAGGGTTTAATTGCAAGAGTCCCGAATAAAAATTGTATTTGTGCAGTTGACTCGGGGGATCTTTGCCTCCTCCCGAAAACTGATTGAAGCGGATGTATAGATATTTTATCTGACTGCGACTTACTGAATATAAAATATTAGAAATAAAGATTTTTAGATTTATTAGGATCATCACTTACGTGCTGTTTTCTTCTTTAGCGTGTGCATAACGTCTGGTGGCACTGAGGGATGTGCAGTGGCCTTTCTCAAACACAAACATCCCATTCCGTATTGCCTGCCAATTAAAACAGTTTTCCTTATAATCTCAGCACTTGAAAATTTCCTCTGACAGCATTTACTAAGAAAGGCCTGGATGAGGCACTTGCTACTTAATTTTCCATTTCCCATTTTCCTCGTTTTTGATAAACACCGTTCAAGATCAGTTAAGATAAGGGTCTACCCTTATTATTTTATGCGTTCGTTGTCTTTTACGATCGCGTACACCCATAAAAAAGCAGATCTTCAAAGACAAGAAGCTGCGACAAGTGACATTTTGTGCGCAAGAAGTCGAGCACTCATAAAGCATATTACTTCATTAGAAACCGAAATTAAACTGAACGCATAGTGTAATTTTGATTCTAACTCTGTTTGTGCTGTGGCCGCCTTTAATGAGGCCTGTTTTTAGTTCTTTTTTTATACCATGAAGGTTAAACCAACTCTAAACGAAAAGGGCTTCAAACAGTATAAGAAATGAGTGTCTTTACCTTTCACAATTTAGTAAATTATTGTTGTTGAATAATAAGAACAAAGGGTTACATTTATATTTCCTTTATTCTTTAAATTAGAAATCATAATTAGGGTGTTCAATTGCGTTGCAAACTTTGTAAAGTGTAAAAGTGTAAATCAATTCCAACAACAATTTCTATACAAAAAAGTTTTCAAAAGTAGGCCTTTAAAACTATTTTGTATAGAAATTGTTGTTGGAATTGATTTACACTTTTACACTTTACAAAGTTTGCAACGCAATTGAACACCCTAAATGATAAATATAGTTATCTAAATAACTTTGGCTAATTTAATAAATAATTATTTTAAATATGATTTAATTTAAAGGGTGAAAATATGATGACTTTATTGTAGGGAATTGACTATTCTAACTTAGAATTTCTAAGTGATCCAACCAGTATCATTTTATGATGATGATGGGCAGACGGTTAAATCGTAACCTTTTTTGGCGGCCCTAGAACTTTGAGCGCTGTGTGGTCCGCGTGCCGAGGGTCACGTCTCAGATGGTCGCATATCTGGCGACCAATTTGCGGCGAATATGTGTGCCACATGACAAGCAATTAAGCTCGGACTGCGACAAAGTACGTGTTCAAGCTGGGGGTTTAGTGAACCCGGTCGCGAAAGCGATAAATTTATGACAAATTTTCAAAAGAAATGGTCTGCTCAGAGACTGTGTGTGGTTCGGATATCGCCGCAGTGGTGGTGGTGTTCCTGGGGGCTTTTGTGCTGGTTGCTCTCCAGCGAACATTTCGACGTGGCAGCACTTAACACCACGCATCATTTTAATTATTTATTTGGCCATAAAACAGTCGAAGTCGAGGGAGGGGCCGGTTCGGGGGCGAACTGGCCAACTTTCGGCACAGTTTTCGTTAGCTGGCGGTTCGAAATCGTTAAATTTAACAAATTGCCAGCGATTTTTATCGCGCTCCAAGCCCACAACCGACCAGCAAAAGCAGCCCAACCCGACCAGACTCTTTCCTGTCCTGTTCGGCCCTGCCCATAGATTGTTTTCCTTATGCTCACTCGTGCTTTTCTGAACTGGCAAATTTATTTATGACCAACGGCCGAGAGATACAGTATTTTTAGTTTCAGTTTTCGGTTTCGGCCATAACGCATAATTGGCCAAAGAGTTATGAGTGGGGGAGATGACTCAGGTACTCGAGACTTTTCCCTAATTAAGTTGAATGAAATTCGTCCAAGGGTACAGCATCCCCGGGTCAACTTTATGAAGTCGTAAAATCTTTGATCCTCTTCTTATCACTTCCCGAATCGCATAAAACCCATTTCTATCTTGTTCCCGACAAACGGTACCAAACATCCCGGGCGATAAGATTTTTAAAATTTTTTACTAGCCGAATGTCACTGCTGGCAGGCTCAAGTTCGTTGCCTAAGTCTTTCGTTTCGGTCGAGTTCGTTGCCTAAGTCTTTCGCTTCGCTCGAATTACATTCGACGTACTTACTCATTTAACTAATCTTAAGCAAACTAATTAGTGAGCCAAAATGGAATTAAATCGCATAAAACAACTTAATTATTATTGCACAAATATATATTTGGAGCTCGAAAAGAGCCGGCTAATTGGCCGGCTACAACAATTCGCAGCGGAGGCCAGTCGAGCAGCAACAAGAACAACGGCCACTGCAAACATGTTAACTGAATATAACCTGTAATTATAATAATTATCTGTAAATTATATGGCGCACTTACAATTGCACACGGATTCATGCGCTTGTTATAAAAATCTGAAGCGGAGTTTTGAGTTAGCTTTGGCTTTTAATCTTGCTCGAATTTCAATCGTGTGGCAGCTGCTAGCGGTTGCAATAGTTTACGGCTGTGAGCTACTGCTCATGCACTGCAAGAAAATTGGAAAAACTTCAACTTTATGCCGGCAGACATCAGAAACGTGATCATAGCCTCCATTTAGACGAAAATTAAATCAAATTTCATTGGCATGTGTGAAACTGTCGCGTACTCGCATAATTTGTGGCTGTTTTGTGTGCGTTTTTTATATTTTTTGTGCTCCATCCGGTTAAGTATTTCTTGTTGTTGCTGGCGGCAACCGCTCGATTCTTCGTAATTGAAACGAGTTTGCCACAAGTGAACATGTTGGTTTTGTTTTTTTGTTTTTTTTTTGGGTAATTCAGCATACAACACTGTCAGATGTTTCGCAGTTGAGTGTCGGTTATAAAGTAATTAGCCTCAATTTAATGTTTATACTTTGTTGATTATGATTATGTTAATTATACGACTTTATGTGATGGTGAAAACAGGGAAGCATTCCCATTCCCATTCCGGTTGCCCTGTCATCATCGTCATTATGATCACAACGATTGTCGCGGCTGACATTGATGAACTCGAAAGTGTGACAAGCCGGCGGATTGCTTAATGTCTGGGTAATATGGAAACTTTTCTGCCCCGAAGAGCATAAAGCTCCGGGTGGGTGCTTCCTTCGTTCGGTTCGGCCTAATGGCGTTCTATTAAAAACCACTTTTATTAATTAAGCAAAACAACTTAATTCCCATGTAAAGCGCTGCATCAGCATCACATCATGGGCAGCTGCTCGGGCTAATTGCGCCGAGGCATCTGCATCTGGGATCCCGATGCCTATAGCGAACCCAAACCCGATCCCATTCCAGATCCCCACGGACACCTGAACACCGAACACCGAACACTTTGAAACGAAAACACGATAAATGGGTTTAATAATGGCGGCAATTAAATGGATACACCGCGTTCTCTACACATATTGGTGATGCGATGGAGCCCGATCTCGGGCAGCATCTCAATTACCGCTGCTCTGCATGGCGCTTCACGGTTGAGAAATTCGACGCCACTTTCAAAAACGCATCAGTCAAATGCTCATCTGCTTCTCATCCGCACGGCTGCATTCTGCGGCTCTTTTAGCCGAGGCGTTGATTCTCCTCTTTTTGGTTTCCAGGCCGGCCAACTCATCAGCAATTTATTAAAACTCATCAATACTCATCAAAGGCAAAAACAAAGCAAACAAGATTGACTTCAAACTGCGATTCGATTCTTCAAAAAGAAAAAACCCAAAAAAAAAACAAAACAGAATGCCTGCGGTTAATTTGGCGCAGCTACAGAAATTGTAATAGATTTGTTTACCTTTTGATTATTAAGGGTTTTCGGGTAGGAGGAGTCGGTTAGGGTATCAGTTTGTAAACTATATCTCTTGAAATTTTTTGTAGGTATATATTTTAAACATATTTTTTTAAACCTATATTATTTTAAGAAATAACCAATTGAAAATAATACTTGTTTGACATCTAACAATTTAATTTAATATTTTGTTACATTTTTAAAGATTTCAGTGAAATTTAATAGCTTTCTAAAAATATTTTTTAAAGAGACAAATATTTGTAATTTTTGATTTTCCTTATAGCTCACTGATTATTCGCATATATTTACCTTCTGGTCAGCTGCCTTCATCTCTTTTCATCTCAGCTCAGCTGGCAGCTTTTTCACCTTCTGCGCCGTGATTTGTCTGCATTTTCAGCTCATTTATTTGTAGACTCTGGTATTTGTGCCTGTCCGTTTGCCCCCTTGCCCTTGCCGCCGATCCATTGTCAGGTTGGAAATGTGTATAAACAAAGTGTTTTGCATATGTCAGAGGCACTCGGGGCGCTCGTAGCCATCAATCCCGAGGGCATCAATTTGGGAAATGCATCAAAGTTGGCAGCTTGAACAGCTTGATTAGTTGTACAACCGCAGTATCAGCATCCCGGCATCCCAAGTGCATGTCGGCTCATTAGGCTTCTCCACTGATGAGCAACTGGAAATCTAGAGGCGATGGAAGCGGCGGGAGGGAGCTGTGAAATCGGTTATCGAATACGCGTCTCATGTCTGGTGTCTACATCAAAATTAGGTTTTAATAATTGGCTCACATTTATTTGCTGCCTTAATTTGATTGTGCCGTCAAATGTTTCTATGCAGTCGAGTCGTCAATTAATCATTGCTCATTGATCGTTCTTGTGGTTGTTGGGGGCGTGTTAGCCTTAATGAACCTGGCTAATGCGAAGAGCGATGATGAAAGATGAGCTGGCTTGTCGGAGAATCTGGCGAAAGGAGGATTCTAAAGCTGATTGAATAAAAAACCTTTTAAAAAGAAATCCACAAGTAAAAATATAAACCGTTTCAAGTGATACCTACAGAATATTTACTTATAAAATGTGTTACATTTATTTATAAAATATTACAATTATAAGCAATTAGGAATTATTTAAACTGTTAAAAAAATTGTAACCAAATGGTTAGTAAAATTATTTCATTGTAAAAGAATGATAAAAAACAAAAATAATTATTATTATCGATCACAGAATTTTTCAGATAATTAATTAAAATCGCTTGCAAACCAAGTGAATAAATAACTTATATATAAGCTCCGGAATTTTTTAGTTAGTCCCAAATTACTTGGTGTCAAATCGCGAGCCCTTCGAATTCGATTAAAATGCGTTTGCCCAGCACGCGCAACGGCAAAAAAAAAAAAAACTGCGAGGAGGGACAGAGTATAAAACTTC